CTACAAAACACTGCTCAAAGAAATCCAAGAAGACACAAACAAATAGAAAAATATTCCATGCTCATGGATAGGAAGAATCAACATTGCTAAAATATCCATTCTACCAAAGGTAAATCTGCAGATTCAACACAATACCCATTAAGTTACCAACATCATTCTTTTCAGACCTGGAAATGGCAATACAGATATTCATATGGAAACATAAGCGACCACAAACAGCCAAAACAATCCTTAGCAAAAGAAACAGAGCAGGAGGTATCACACTTCCAGACTTCAAACATTACTATAAGGTTACAGTAGTCACAAGAGCCTGGTATTGGTACAAGAACAGGCACACAGACCAATGGAACAGGATAGAGATTCCAGAAGCAAAGCCTCAATTCCTCAACCAACTCATCTTTGACAAAGCCTCCAACAACAGCCACTGGGGAGAGGAGAACCTATTCAGTAAATGGTGCTGGGAAAACTGGCTGACCACATGCAGAAGATTGAAACAGGACCCCTACCTATCACCGTACAAAAAATTAACTCTAAATGAATCAAAGACCTAAATGTAAAACCTCAAACTAAAAGAATCTTAGAAAGGAAAGCACAGGAGATACCCTTATGGAAATTGGAACTAGTAACCAATTCCTAGTCAGAACCCTAAATGCCCATAGCTTCAGAAATAAGATAGATAAGTGGGACCTCATCAAACTAATGAGCTTCTGCAAAGCAAAGCAAAAGAAACCATCAAGAGAGCTGGGAGACAGCCCACAGAATGGAAAAAAATATTTGCCAACTGTATATCTGACAATTGTATATCTAGGATCTACAAGGAACTCAAATGCACCAAAAGGAGAAAAATAAACAGCCCCTTTAAAAAGTGGGCAAAAGACATGAATAGACACTTCTCAGAAGAATATATACAGGCAGCCAACAGACACATGAAAAAGTGCTCAGCCTCACTCATCATCAGAGAAATGCAAATCCAAACCACAATGAGATACCACCTAACCCCAGGAAGAATGGCCATCATTAATAAAGCAAATAACAACAGATGTTGGCGAGGATGCAGAGAAAAAGGAACGCTTCTACACTGCTGGTGGGAATGCAAACTAGTGCAACCTCTTCGGAAGGCAGTGTGGCAGTTTCTGAAAGAACTAGAAATTGACCTTCCTTATGACCCAGCAATTCCCCTATTGGGAATATACCCGGAGGAACTCCATTCATTCTACAAAAAAAGATACCTGCACATACATGTTTGTTGCAGCTCTATTCACAATAACAAAAACATGGAACCAACCATGTTGCCCATCAAAGCTGGACTGGATCAAAAACATGTGGTACATATACACAGTGGAATATTATGCAGCCATGAAGAAGGACAAACGTGGACTTTGCAGCAACTTGGATAGATTTAAAGTTGATCATACTCAGTGATCTATCACTGAAACAAAGAACAGAGTACTATATGTTCTCACTCATAAGTGGACCTTGAACAACTATACTATTGTAAGAAAAGGATTGGTAGTAGTGGGAAACTGTCAGGGGAGGGGGGGTGGAATGAGCAGTTGAGGGAAACTGCTAGGGGAGGGAGGGGCATACCCCATTAACAAGGGTACCTGTATAATCAACGTTTGTATACCTAACCCTGAATTGTACCCCACATCTTTATAATAATAATAATAAAAAGAAACGTATATACATTTTAAGAGATGTTCACTGTAATCAGAAGTGTCTGGACACTAATAGTAACCACTTTGAGTACCTCTTATAATTACAGAAGTCAAACATAACTTGTATTCCTCTTATTGAGTATTACAATGTTAATATAGCTTTTTCCTTTCTTAAAATATGTATGCATTTTTTGGCAGGCTCTGTATTGAACACAGTAGTACATATCTTAGCAAGGAAGCACAGAATTACATACATTTGAAAAGGGTTTCATCCATAACCAAAAATTCAGATAAATCCTTACTTACCTCCCACTAAAAACAGCACACACCTGTTAGGTACTTGATATCTAAACATTTACCATATTTGTTTCTCAAATTCAGGTCTGCCTTAACATATGGTTATAACTCCCACTCAAATTTTAAAGTCATAGGCTTCCTCTAAATTAACAAGAATATTTCTGACAACTCAAATAAACAAGCAATACCCTTAAATCACCAGAAATGACACCCTGACTTTAGGCAAAAAAAGACTTCAGATACATATTTCATCAAGATGCAGAGATCAATTTCAACATCTACTAATGTTACTAATAACCAGAGTTCTGAAATTTTTAGAAAAGAAGCATTAATTTTGAAGTTGTTTGTTTTTAACATAAAACTCCCTGAGAACTCTTTCCAAACAGTAGTAGTCAAGTAGACAACCAGAATCTCTTACCTGCAGTCATCTAACTGCACCAGAAATCGTACAATATCATGATGAGCTTTCAGTACAAGCAGTTCAGTGTAGGGGTTCTGGGCTTGTTCTTCACCTATTGTCTGTAAAGGAGATTTCTTGTATTGGAAAAAACAAAAAAGCAAAAACAAAAGACAAACAGATAAAGTGATTTATGATAAATGTCCATATTGGAATATAACTGCATAGTATACCTCTAAGAATACAAGATTGAAAAAGTCATATCATGTGCTAATACTAAGGATTATTTCCCCTAATGTAAGCTCAAAAACTGCCAATTCCATATAAATCATTTCTCTTACCATGAAGTCATACCATAAATTTTAGTATTTTCAAGTCACAATAAACTTACAAAAAGGGTATGTTTTATTTTATATAAATTGTATCTCATTAAACCTGACTTTAAAAATTAATGGGCCAATCCAACTCAAGATTTTAGAATGAGTGTTTCTCAACCAAAATTTCACAGAAACAAAACTGCAAATTAAAGGGGTAAAACAAAGACTAAAACAGTGCCTAACCCATTTTAGGCACTCAATACATGGGTGCTAAATGAGTAAAAGAAGGAAGGAATGAAATCATTTAGACTCAATGAATTCAACAAACTCAACTCTGGACAATAATATTGATAAAGATAATTGCTAACATTTACAGAGTTTTATTTGGCAGGCCATTTGCCAGACACTGTACTAAGCATATATGCCATATAACTTAATTCTGTAAATGGATCATATCAACCTCATTTCTAGAGTCAGACCAAGTACAATGTCATGACAAAACTTTTGTTCTTAACCCCTAAACCACGGTTTCCCAAACTCAACACTATTGACAATTTGGGCCTGATGATTCTTTGCTGTTGAGAGCTGTCCTGTGCATTTTAGGACATCTACCAGCATAGCTGGCTTATACACACTAGACACCAACTGAATACCCCTCCAAAGCATGACAACCAAAAATGTCTCCAGGCATTGCCAGATATCTCCTGTGGAGCAAAAATCACCCCCGCTGAGAACTACTGCTTAATCTAGAAGCCTGGGTACAAAGTTCTTACATAAATTATAGGAAATTGTAGGTTCTGATAATGTAGTTATATAACTGAATTCATAGTAGTTATACAACTGAAATACTTTTATATGAAGAAATGCATAAATTGACATGCATACATTTTTTTTAAAAAAAACTACCCCAAAGCAGTAATTTTGTATGTACTTGGTCTTCCTTCTAACAGAGGAAGATAAAAACAAGTGAGAACTGCATAAACTGCTTCCTCCCAAATAAAAGCTTGCCAGGAATGGCAGAATTGGTTAATCAATTTCACGATATATCAAATAAACAAGTTAGTACAGAATTCTCATATATATTACGTATGGCTATTTAATAAGCCATAATTCTTCCCTTGACTGAAAGGTTTCGGACTAATCAGAAGTAAAGAAATTTTAAAAATAGATAATAAACTTCAAATGCAAAGATATGAGAAAGTTAAAGTTGAGAAGTAAGGTTGCTCACAATCCAATTTTTTACTTGTAACAGTCAAAACAAATACTTCCTATGAGAAATAAAATAGAATGAACAAGTTCCGTTCCTGAGTGACATACGATATAAATTTCAGAGCCCAACATTTTTAATTTTGCAAAATGATTTTATTCACATTTCAGCTGTAAACCTCATCAACACTCTACTTATTCAGGCCCACGAAAAAAGTGTAACAGTGGAACCAAAAATAAGAGGTCATTACAAAATCATTCACTTGAACTGGAAGCAAATTTTTAAAAAAATAATTATATGCTTCTTTTCTTGTTTTTTTGGTTCTTGGATAAGTTAATTTCATGTTCCCTGAGCAACTAGGAGTGGCCGTTGGGAGGAGGCACCAATTCAAACAGACCAGGAGCGGGAAACTGCAGTCAACACTCGCTCGCTTCGGCCCAAACCGGTACTTTCCCAACTGAACGCGGCAGCCGGACGGACGGCAAGCC